CGGTAGTCACGTGACCCTAACCGGAGACACGATTGGCCTAAAACACGCATAGCGTCTACCCTGCTGTCAATACCGATTTAACAGGACAGCTCTTTGAAGGTCAGCTTTCGAACTTCTAAAGAAGCTGTTCAGTCCAAAAGTGGTTCTAAACGGGGCAAGTTTGAAGACAGTATGTTTTACGTCGTATAACCCCCATTATAATTTAGAATGAAAAACTAAGCGCGACTATTTTTTGCGCACGATGCACACAAATATATCTATAAATATATAAATATATTTTTTATCAATAAATTTAAAACTGTTTGTACACTGTTAGGTTCACGTTTTTAAACTAAATTTTTTTTTTTTACGAAAGAGTTATACATAAAAGACACCCCGAACAGCACATCGTCCGACTTTCAACACACGATGAATCGCCGACGCTCGCAGACAGAAGGCTGCGATGCTGCGCGAACGGTTTCTGAAAGATGCTGGGTAGGGTACTCCGAGCGCAACGGCTTTGCGCCCGTTCGAAGGGCAAATGATTCGCGATAAAAAAGTAGCATCTTGCAGCTTTAGTAAGCTAACGGGGCTCGAAAGTACCACGCTCACATTTCCGCAGAGCGAGCGCGGCCGGCCAGATCGAGGCGCAGTATGCTCTCGCGTCGCGAGTGCTACGTCGTTGCTTTGCCTACACTGATGACATGTGCACTGGCAGTCGAAGCAACCCTCTCGAGACTTCACTCGAGTTTAATATATGATTTATAGCGCGATAGACTCTCGTAAAACTAAAAGTAGAATTCACTTCGATTGCGGCGTAAGCGGCGGCTTTATGTTCGTTGACACCTGCGTCGACAATGAGTACATATGCACAGAAACATTAAATATAAAAAAATAGAGCACGCAGAAAGAAATACAAACATGGCAGGGGCACGGATAAAGAGAAGACGTTAACGCTACGTATACATACAAAATACATTGGAAAAGACAAAAATAGTTAAATCTAAAAAACGGAATTAAGTTGTCAACGCAAAGGTAAGGCACTGCGAAGGGAGAGCAGCCGGCAAAAAACTGCAATAGTCCTATAGGCAGGTAAGGACGTATTTGTGATCGCGGTTATAATGCGCAGGCGACGTACGCCCCATGAAGTTGGCTGAATAAAATTCTCGCCCAAGCGAGCTCATGAATGACTCTTTTCCAATTTCCTACCTCTGCAATGCAAAAAAGAGGATCGCGGGTCTATAGCCTAGGCGACACAAATATCGATAAGCCATTGGCTATGGCGGTACAATATTGACCAGCCTAGACCAAGACATCACCAATATTGGAAAACTCTTGGCTTTGACATATTAATATTAACCAGCTTAAGCCAGCGTATATACAATATCGGAAAACCATTGGCTCTGACAGTCCAATATTGTACAGGTTATGCCGGCGTATATCCAATATAGGAAAGCTTTCAGCTTAGACAGTAGAATATTGGACAGCTTATGCCGACGTATAGCCAATATCAGAAAGCTAGTGGCTCCGACAGTCCAATATTGGACTACTTATGCCGGCATCTATCCAATATTGGAAAGCTATTGGCTTTGACAGTCCAATGTTGACCAGCCTATGCCAACGTATCACCAATATTGGAAAAACATTGGCTTTGATAGTCCATTATTGTCCAATGGGTTTCCAATATTGGGAAACATAGGGCTCAGTTGGGCCATTGTTGGGCCATTCTTTGCCACATTAAATCCAATGTTGGCCCAATACTGTGTGCTGCCTGGGTAACCACATGGCCTAGGAACTTCAGTTCGTCATAGGCGAACCGACACTTCGACGGCTTCAGGGTGAGTCCGGCGCTCCGTAAGGCTTGGAGAACTGCTCGGAGTCGTCGCAAGTGCTTGTCGAAGTCGCTGGAAAACACGACGACGTCGCCGAGGTAGACGAGACAGCTCTGCCACTTCAGCCCTGCCAGCACTGTGTCCATGACACACTGGAAAGTTGCTGGCGCCGTGCACAGTGCGAAGGGCATCACTTTGAACTCGTACAGTCCATCCGGCGTGACGAAGGCTGTCTTTTCTCGGTCCCGTTCGTCGACTTCGATCTGCCAGTAACCACTCTTCAGGTCCATCGATCAGAAAATCGAGAGTGGCGCAGCCGGTCAAGAGTGTCGTCGATGCGGGGGAGTGGGTGGACGTCTTTCTTCGTCACCGCGTTCAGCTGCCGGTAGTCCACGCAGAACCTTAGCCGTTCCGTCCTTCTTCTTAACCAGCACGACTGGCGAGGCCCACGGACTATTTGAAGGTTGGATTATGTCGTCTCTCAGCATCTCTTGAACTTGCTCCTGGATCGCCTCCCTTTCTTTAACGGAAACTCGGTACGGCGATCGATGCACAGGGCGTGAGTCGTCCTCGGTAACGATGCGGTGCTTCGCAACGGCGGTTTGGCGTACCTTCGACGACGTCGCAAAGCAGTCGCGGTATTCGGCGACGAGGTTAAGCAGCTGCCGTCGTTTCGGGCCCGGAAGCTTAGAGTCAATGTCGAGCTGCGCAGGCAACGCACTGTCTGGCTGAGGCGGCGAGGATTCGTCAGTAATCTCGGTGATTTCGGCGGGGTTTCGGAGTTCCTCGACGTGGCCCACGGCTGCACCTTTCGTGAGGTGTTGTGTTTCGTTTCGGAAGTTCGTCACGAGGGCCACAGTCTGCCCATCCTGAAGTTAAGCTACTCCCCTTGCGACGCCTATTCCCCTTCCCAGGAGCAATTAGAGGCTTCCCTCGAGAAGAACTTCGCGGCAGGAAGCTGCATCGGCCACGACGGGTACGACAACACTTGATCGCGGAGCCAGGTTCACGTGGTCGGCGGCGACTCGAACGGCGGGTGACGCTGTTTGGGCTTTTTCTGAAGGCGGAACAGGCTTCCGCAGCGTCAATCTGTTCTCACCCATGTCGATGACGGCGCCGTATTCGCACAGAAAGTCCATGCCGAGAATGACACCTCTGGCACAGTCTTGTAGAACCACGAATTTCACAGGGCACGTTTCGCCGTGAATTTCGACGCGAGCAGTGCAACTTCCGACAGGCGTGATAAGGTGTCCTCCGGCGGTTCGAATTTGTGGACCTCCCCAGGCCGTCGTAACTTTTCGCAGGCGGCGAGAGAGCTTCCCACTCAGGACTGAGTGGTCTGCTCCGGTGTCCACGAGTGCCGATGCGTCGTAGCCGTCGATAACAACATTTAGGTTTTTGGACGCCGTTGCAGTGGCTTCGTTGCGATGCGCGGCGTCGGGGGAGTGGGACCGCTCGGGCGTTTTTGGAGGCTGTTTACTTTGGTCGTCTTCGGCAACGCCACCTCCAGGCGTTGCCGCACTTAGTTTTCCCGACGAGATAGGGGGGACAGGCTGTCCCGACGAGAGCGGCGGTAGGGCGAGAGTGCACGTAGTGGCGAAGGCGAACGGGAACCTCGGTGTCGAGTCGGCACCGGGGACAGGGGTCGTCGGAGGTATTCTTCGATGTCACGAGGGCGTTCGCCGTACCTTGGGCGAGGGTCGCTTGGCGCAAACCCTCGTAGGTCCATTTAACGATAGGGGCACCTTCGATAGACGTGGTCAGCCTCACCGCAGTGGTAGCACAGCGGTCGCCTGTCTGCCGTCTGCCACACGTCGGTCTTCCTCGTCGGGGGTTGCTCCGGACGGATGTGCTGGACCTGTCCTTCCTGACGCCGAGGATACTGTGGCATCGGAGGGTCTCGTCGGGGTGGTGCCGTTGTCTGGCGGTTAGCTTGCGGCGGTCGTCGGGCCTTGGCGGCGTAGCTCAGCGTTGGTTCCTCTGGCGTCGTCGTGTTGGTGGAAATTTCAGGCTGGACGGCTCGGTGAAGCTCCTCTTGGACAACCTCGGCGAGTCTTAGAGAGGACGGGCTATCTGCAGCGAGGAGCATCTCGCGGACCTCTTCCCGGGCGACTTCACGGATGATGTCGCGTATGCCGGGGAGGCTAGGGCTGATGTCGTGGCCCAATGCAGAAGAAGCAGCGACGCTCGAGTGCCGATGGTAATGGCTGGCTCTTGCGAGGAGGGCACGTTCCATGCTTGTAGCTTCCTTGAAGAAATCTTCGACGGTGGCTGGAGGGTTGCGGACAAGACCACCGAAAATGTCATCCTTTACGTCTCGCATCAGGATCCGCAGCTTCTTTTCGTCGGTGGCTCGAGGGTCGGCGCGGGCGACCAGGCGCAGAACATCCTCAACAAAACTGGTGATCGTCTCGTTTGCGCCCTGGGTCCTCATTCGAAGAAGGTCCTCGGCCCTCTCCAGTCGATATTGGTTGGTGAATGTCCGTCTCAGCGCATCCTTGCAGGCGGTCTACGAGGTCAGGGAGGTTTCGCGCTTTTCGAACCAGTGCCGGGCCGTTCAGCGCGAAGTAAAGATTCTGCAGGCGCTGTTCGTCCGTCCATTGGTTGTGCTGGGCCATGTTGTATACTGGCAAAGACGGTATGCCAGTAGGCAGCGATGGCGCGAGCTCGGCGCGTACCACGCTGCCAGAGCTCGCGCAGTGCTCGCGATCGGCTCGGACTGATTATTAAAAAATGGAGCCTTTCATCTGGAACGACCTGGGGGGCTATGTTGCGCTTTTTGCACTCCCAGGAGACTTGGAAGAGGGAAGTGACGTCAACGACACAGCAAACGCAGATTGGATGTTGACAGAAGAAAACGAAATCAACACCCACTCTGCGTTTGCTGTGTCGTTGACGTCACTTCCCTCTCCCTAGTCTCCTGGGAGTGCAAAAAGCGCAACATAGCCCCCCTGGTCTCGGCTCTCTCGTTCGCGATTTAACATTGGCGACGAGGATACTGGTTACCTGTCGTCGGAGGTCATCGGCATCTCACGAAGGAACGGGGACCTGGATCACGGCTACCACGGTGCTAAGCCAAGAACCCGCAGCGAGCAGCGGGAAGAGCCACTGCTGAAAGGACTTCAAGGAAATAGTATGTGCAGCAGTTCTCTCTACTTCTCAACGTAGTGAACGTCGCAGTGTACGAAAATGCCACACCTCGGGAAGGTGCTAGAATTCGACGAGGCCTCTCAGAGTTTCGAGACCTACGTTGAGCGTTTCGAGCTTTTTGTCGCTGCGAACAGCATCAAAGAAGAGAAAAAGGCAGTAACATTCCTAACAGTCATCGGCGATCGAACATACGAAGTCCTCATAAACCTAGCAGCCCCAGACTTGCCAGGCTCTAAGACGTACAGCGAGATAAAGACTCTATTAGAGGAGCACTACGGCCCGCAACGGTCCGTAATAGCCGAACGCTGTAGGTTCAACCGACGGAGTCGGCTAGAACATGAATCCGTGGAGGATTTCATTTTGGCCCTGAAGAGTTTGTCTCGATTTTGCAATTTTGGAACATTTTTGCAAAGTGCTCTCAGGGACAAGCTGGTAGCTGGCCTGAGGGACGAAAAAACTCAGAAGGAACTGTTTGCGTTTGCTGAAGAAAAGCTAACTTTCGCAGTCGCTTGCAAGATAGCGCGGGAAAAAGAAGCAGCAGCAAAACAAACGGCGGACATGCACAAAGAATCCAAAGCAGTGAACGCTATTCATAAAAAGGTGTCACCTCCTGAGAACAGAGGTCATGGGAGAAGCACGTCTCATGATCATGGGTCCAGTACTTCGCTAACAAGTTGCTATCGTTGCGGAAATGAGCATGAACCCCGCGATTGTCGTTTTAAAACGTATCGCTGCAAGATCTGCTACAAGACTGGACATCTCCGGAAGATGTGTCGCAACACGCCTGGAAAGACTCCAGAGCGCAACGTTCAAATCCTTGAGGAGTCTGATGATGAGGATGAAGACCTACTGACCGTGTACACGTGTATGAAATCTTCACCGAGATTTCAAGTTTTCGTAGAGGTGGACAGAGTTCCTCTACTCATGTTGATCGACACGGGAGCGGCGGTCTCTATCATACCAGAAGAAGTTTTTATTAAACACTTTCCCCAGAAAGAGCTCCTGGAAACCAAAGTAGCTCTTCGCACTTACTCCGGTGAGCGGCTGTCGGTAAAAGGGAAGATCTCAGTAAAAGTCCAATATAACGGGCAAGAGGAAACACTCGACTTGTTTGTAGTAGCTAGCGAAGGTCGAAGTCCACCAGTGCTCCTAGGTCGCGACTGGCTCCGGAAGCTGAAGCTGGACTGGACGGCTATCTGCAGCATCACTGTTCAAGACCAAGTGGAACAGCTTCGAAAGAAGTATCCGAACGTCTTCGACAGTTCCCCTGTCATGGTACGCGATTATCAGGCACAGGTTGTCATCAAAGAAAACAGCACTCCAGTCTTTTGCAAGGCACGTCCTGTTCCTCTGCCCCTCAAGGAAGCGGTGACAGCACAACTGCGAAAGCTTGAAAAAGATGGCATATTGCGTCACGTTTCTCAAAGCGACTGGGCCACTCCTTTAGTTGTGGTACCGAAAAACGGAGGAGAAAGCCTTCGGTTGTGCGGTGACTATAAGGTGACCATCAACCCGGTTCTCAAGATGGATCACTACCCGTTGCCACATCCAGAGGACATCTTCAGCACGTTGGTCGGGGGGAGAGTGTTCTGCGTTCTCGACCTGTCGTCAGCGTACCAGCAAATCAAGCTCAGCGACACGTCGAAACACCTGCTGACCATCAATACACACCTGGGACTGTTTGAGTACCAGCGACTTCCTTTTGGAGTAGCAAGCGCACCTGCCATTTTTCAATCGTTGATGGACCGTGTCCTGCAAGGAATTGCACAGACGTGTTGTTACATCGATGACATCATCATCGCTGGCAGAGATATGGCAGAGTGCAGCAAAATTCTGGACTCTGTTCTACAAAGATTGTCCGAGTCTAGCTTGACCCTCAGAAAGGAGAAGTGCAAGTTTTTTGCGGACTCAGTTGTGTATTTGGGACACCAAATTTCCGCAAAAGGCATCCAGCCCACACAAAGCAAGGTCAAGGCAATCACAGAAGCGCCAGAACCTACCAACGTGACGGAACTGAAGGCTTATCTCGGAATGCTGACCTTCTACGGAAAGTTTCTGCGCAATCTAGCTGACACGGCGTCGCCATTGTACGAGCTCCTGAAGAAAGGACATCACTGGAAATGGGACAGCAGCTGCAAGAAAGCCTTCCAAGCAACAAAAAATCTGCTAGTCAACAGCTCAGCTTTGGCATATTATGACGTAGACAAACCGATCGGGGTGGTTTGCGATGCATCAGCCTACGGCCTTGGAGCTGTTCTGTTCCACAAGACGTCAGAAGGTGCGGAAGTGCCTATTGCCTTTGCGTCGAGAACATTAACATCCGCGGAGAGAAACTACGCTCAAGGAGAAAGAGAGGCCCTGGCTATCATATTTTGCCTGAAACGATTTCACCGTTATCTCTATGGAAGATTCTTTACAATATACACAGACCACCATCCTCTCTTGGGAATTCTGTCTCACGACAAGGCCGCTCCAACCTTGGCCGCTGCTCGAATGCAACGATGGGCGTTGCTTCTGTCAGGCTACAACTACCGACTCTGTTATCGACGTGGCAAGGTCAACGAAGCAGCAGACGCGCTCTCACGTCTTCCTTTGCCTAGGTTGTCGGAAGACGCAGAGAAGGAGTGTTTGGCGCTCTTCGATGCCACACCCATAACTGCCATGGAAGTAAGCAAAGCAACCTCGGTGGATAACTTGCTTAGCCGAGTTCTGCACTTCACGCTGCGAGGGTGGCCAACGTCTGAACACGCGACAGAGCTGCAGCCATTTTATATTCGTAGAAGTGAACTCTCAGTAGAGGAAGGTTGCCTGACATGGGGGCTGCGTGTCATAATACTGACAAAACTTCAAAGTACAGTCCTCTCCTTGCTACACGAAGAACACCCCGGCATGTGCCGCATGAAGATGCTAGCACGAGGATTCGTCTGGTGGCCGAATCTCGACAAAGACATCGAAGAGTGTGTTCGAGGCTGCAAGGTTTGCCAAGTTGTTCAGTCAGCCGCTCCGGTCGTACCTCTACATCCATGGACGTATCCACAACAAATCTGGCAACGCATCCACATTGACTTCGCAACCAAGAATGACGTCAACTTCTTGATTATCGTGGATGCTTATTCTAAGTGGCTGGAAGTCTTTCCTATGCGTTCCACGACCACCGCCAAGACACTGGAAAAACTTCACATTGTCTTTGCAAACTTCGGACTGCCGGAGGAAATTGTAAGTGACAACGGGCCACAATTTTCATCTCACGAATTTGCGGAATTCATGAAACGAAATCTAATTAAACACATAAAAACGCCTCCTTACCATCCCGCTTCAAATGGAGCAGCCGAAAGGGTAGTCCAAACCACTAAAAAAGCGTTGCTGAAGCAAGTTCTTCATGATCAGTTCACCAAGTCCATGCGAAGCTTACAAGATAAGCTCTCCAACTTCCTTATGGCTTACAGAAACACGCCATCAACGGTGACAAAACTATCTCCATCAGAACTCTTTCTGAAGAGGCAACCACGAATTCAACTCTCGTTGTTGAGGCCCAACTTTACTGGTGACATGCGCGACAAACAGTCGCAACAAAAACAAACAATCGACTTGGATCGTGCTCCAATGCGATCATTTACACAGGGCGACAACGTGTTTGTCAAGACGGTACAAGGCCAGTGTTCCTGGGAGGAAGGGGTGGTGGTGAAGGTCGTCAGCCCTGTGACCTCTCTTGTACAGGTGCAAGGAAAGGTACGCTTCGTGCATGCAGACCACATGAGACGTCGGCAGACACCTCGGGAGCCACCCAGCACCTCGCCGTGCGAAGCACAAAGAGACTGTCCATTCGGCGATTCGCCGGCATCTCAAGAAGGAACGGCATCTCAAGAAATGCCTGACAATCCCACGACAAGCCAGGCTAGTTCAATGGTCGATACCCCGGCTTCAAAGTCAAAGTTCAAAGTCGACCCTGCTTCAACACCCTCAGCTTCGTCATCGGAAGCATCGCCACTTCAAGGGAACCCAGAAATTCCGCTGCGACGAGGTTCTCGAGTCCGGAGGCCCCCTGCCCGGTTTACTTCGGACAACTTCTCCTGAGGGGGGAAGAATGTTGTATACTGGCAAAGACGGTATGCCAGTAGGCAGCGATGGCGCGAGCTCGGCGCGTACCACGCTGCCAGAGCTCGCGCAGTGCTCGCGATCGGCTCGGACTGATTATTAAAAAATGGAGCCTTTCATCTGGAACGACCTGGTCTCGGCTCTCTCGTTCGCGATTTAACAGGCCACTCGCTCGTATTGTTGTAGCCAGTCCTCGACGTCTTCGTGGGCGTCCCCGTGGAAAGGCGTCGGGGTCCGGGGTGCGACGGGCAGGTAGGTGAAGGGAGGAGCTGCCGGGGTCTGCGACTGGTTGGCCATCGTCGTCTTCTTTGGCCTGGGCTTGTCCGGCAGCAGACCAAATTCAGGGGACTGACCTCTGGTACGGCGGCTTCTTTGGGCTTCGGCGTCTTCGGCGAAGGGTAGCCTTCCGGGGCTGAGCACGTCGCTTGGCCGGGATGTCTTTGGAGGGGTACGATTGACGGGTCAGTCAGTCAGTCAGCAACTTTATTGAACCTTATTAAATGGGCTTATGCCCAAAACGAGGGTTCGTTAGGGAGAGGAATAGGGGAGGGATCTTCTTTCCGACAATCGGGTCTTTAACCGATGCTGTATTTCTAGTGTCCTTAGAATTACTGCCAACTGTGTTTCGTAGTCCTCTGAGGCCAGGAGCACACACCAGGGAAGATCTTCGTCTTGATCGTCCAGTCTGCTTTGGAGCGTGGCTGGTATCGGGTTGCTCGGGCACATCCAATACGTGTGCGCCCAGCCACCGTCAACACTACCACATTCCTCGCACTTGTCGCTGAAGAGATTCGGCCAGATTCTGCTCAGCATGCGGGGAGTTAGGGTGTCATGTAGCTGAAGTCTTCTCCACGTCGATTCTTGGGTTCGCGAGAGTCGCTTATGAGGGGTGCCCATGAACTTGCGCGGCATTCGGATACTTCTTAGAATATCGTTGTACGCTCGAGGGCCTCTGTCGTATGGCGCGGCCCCGTAGCAGTGGTCTCCGTCCATTGTGGCTCGGCAGCTCGTCGCCCGGATTTGTTGTGCACGGGTTACGAGCGCGTGGGCCTCTTCGTTTCCCGAGTGTCCAGAGTGTCCGGGCACCCAGGTTAACGAGAATCTGGATCCTGTCTGCGGTATCTTCTTCTGAAGGATCATGCGGGCTGCCTTGCCAACCTTTCCATCACCAAAGTTCGAGATGGCCGTTCTCGAGTCTGAGGTGATTGTGGCTTGTTTGGTTCTGGATGCCGCCATGGTTAAGGCCAAGGCGACGGCTACTTCTTCTGCCTCGTCGATATTCTCCGCACAGACAGAGGCCGTAGTCTTGTCGTTGGTGCTGCAGACTGCTATCACGTACTTGTGCCATGTTCCTGGGCACGGGCCTGCGTCTGCGTGGTAAACATGTTCCCGGTCGCCGTGGAGCTTGTCCAGTGCTTTGGCTCTGGCTTCTCTCCTGTCCTTATTTCTCTCGGAGTCCATGTTTCTCGGTAGGGGCGGAACTCGTACCGAATCTTTCCATTTGTGGGATATTGCATTTCTGCTTGTGAGGACGTGTTGTTCACATTCCTTGATTCTCTGGAGAGTCCTGCGTCCCGTTTCCGTTCTAGAGAGCCGTAGTACTTGCGACTGCTTCTGTGCAGATCTCATTTCCTCGAAGCTGTTGTATATTCCTAGTTGTTCCATCGCTTCTGTAGACGTGGATACTGGTATGCTCAGTGCTATCTTGAAAGCTTTCCTCACAATTAAGTTGAGTTGCTTGATCGAAGCCTCGGTCAGATCCATGTACGGCGCCGCGTACATTATCCTGCTGAGGACGAAGGCTTGGACTAGTCGGCATGTTCCATTCTCCTTCAATCCGTAGCTCTTTCGTGATACTCTTCTCACGAGTCTCGCTACGTTGTCGGCGTTTCTCTTGATGTCAGCGATGAAGCTGCTCTGCTCCCTCTTGATGGTTACCGTCATGCCGAGAATTCGAACTTTTTCGGCTCTCGGTACGTCGATTTTTTGCAGCTTGAGGTAGAATTCCATCTCTTCTCTTAGAGCTCTCTGCGACGGTGGTCTGACTAGGAGCGCCGATTTTTCAGTTGCAAGCTCCAGACCCATCTTTGCAGCTTCTTCTTTGACAATTTCTACGCCGGCTTTCATCACTTTCCCCATGTATGGTGAATGGTGCGCTGTCCAAATCGTGATGTCGTCAGCGTAGATTGCGTGCTGCAGCCCCGCGACTTGCTCAAGTTTCCGCGACATTGGCAGCATGGCAATGTTGAAGAGGAGCGGAGATATTACTGCTCCTTGAGGAGTTCCGCTGCCAACATTTACTGGGAAGGTTTCGGACGTGTCTCCTTCTAGCTGAATGTTTGCCGTCCTATCTGATAGGAACGAGCGAACATAGTTGTACGTTCGCTTCCCTAGTCCTAGCTCCGAGATTTGCCTGAGTATAGCCGCGTGTGATATGCGATCAAAGGCTTTCTTCAGATCGAGTGCTGCTAGGGCGGTCCATTTCTTATTGTCTTCTTCCTCTCTGAGCTGTATAAACACGTCCTGCGTCGACAGGTGTCTTCGAAATCCGTACATCTGGTGCGTAAACAGGTTGTTCTCCTCCATGTACTCTTGAACACGTACTTGAATAATGCGTTCAAGTAGCTTGCCCACGCAAGATGTGAGGGAAATCGGGCGCAAGTTCTCCAACATGAGTGGCTTGCCCGGTTTCGGTATAAAGCAGACCGTGGCGTGTCGGAAACTGCTTGGAAGGTTTCCGCTAGTCCATAGCTCGTTAAAGTATTCCGTGATTCGCTCCACGGAATTGTCGTCAAGGTTTCGTAGCATGCGGTTCGTAATCTTGTCTTGGCCTGGTGCGGAAGTTGTTTTGACTCCAGCCATGGCCTTTCTGACTTCGCTTTCGGTGATGGGCGCGTCCAGCTTGTCGTTCATGGCCCCTTCGTATTCCGTTGGAATCTCAGTAGTAGATGGCGGAGATTCTAAGTATTGCGTCCTGAGTTTGTTATAGATTTCGTCATCCTTGAGGTCTCTGACGAGTTTCGCTAGGAGCTTGCGCTTCTCGAGTTTGGTATCTTCCGGCGCCAACATGCGCCTGAATAGGGTCCATGGACTCTTGGTGTGAAGCCTTCCCTGCAGTTCGTCACATATTTGCTGCCACTGTTGTTGATTTAATTTCTGAGCGTGTTCTTCAATATCCTTACTGAGCTTGGCCGCTTTTTTCCTCAATTTACGGTACCGCTTTCCGGTGTTCCTCCATCGTCTGTATATGGAGCGGTAAGCTTCTAGCATATGCTGGAGTTTACTATCCATAGTCCGGGCTTGGGTAGGATTTTCTACTTCGGTCGTAACAGACTCGTGATCTTCGACTAGCTGTGCGCACCATTCTTCGATCGTGTGCAACGGCCTGTCTTTCCGCTTCTGCCTGAACTTGTCCCAGTCCGTGCATTTCTGCGTTGGGAATTTTGCGCTCTTGTATCCGGGCAGGGGGACCCTCGTCTCGATGACGTAGTGATCGCTGCCGAGATTTTCACGCGTGTTCAGCCACGTGTAGTCATCAATGTTGATACCAAATGTGAGGTCCGGGTTCGTGTCTTTCTGAGCACTGTTTCCGATCCTGGTGTAGTCTGCAACTTCGTTGAGGAGAAAAGCTTCGTGCAACTCGGCTTGGTTGGCGATTTCCCTCCCCTTGGGTGTGTCTCTGCTGTAGCCCCATATGGTGTTGTGCGCATTGAAATCGCCCAGCACCAGTGTCAGATTTTCACCCGCTACGCGGCTCGTCTCCGCAAAGACCTTGGCGCACGCGCTCGTGGTGTCTTTAGGGTTCGAGTAAACGTTACAGATGAATAAGCTTTTGTGCTTCTTTTTCTTCGGTATAATTTCCGTGACTATTGCTTTCACCGATTCATCCAGGTCAACTTCGTGTTGCTTGACTGGGAGATGTCGTCTGACGAAAGTATGAATCGTTTTTCCGGTTGGCTGAACTTCTGCATCGAATCTTGCGTACCCTGGCAGGTTACATTTGTCTCCAGATTCTTGTACCGCTATAATGTCCGGAGGAGTTTCCGTATCCATGATCAACATCTTGAGCGAGTTGATCCGGGCGCAAAGTCCTCCGCTATTCCACTGCCACACGACGATGTTATTACTGTTGTCCATTGGCGCGCTGTTCGAGCCGCTCGAGCCGTTCGAATACGTTCTGGAATGCCTTGTCGTGGTTGTCCATTCTCTGTTTCATTTCGTTGAGCATAGCCTCAAGCCTAGCTAGTCCCGCCAGGATGGCGTTCTGGTTGGGCTCTTCTTTTCTTCTAACCTTCCCGGGCCTGCTGGTCTTGGTTTCGTCACTTGTCTGTACAGAATGGACGGTGCTCTCTGAGTCTGTGCGCTTACGCGGACGTACACTGGGCAGAGACGGAGGCGGTGCCATTTCCACTTCTTGGACTGTCGTCTGTTCATTAGGCGGTTCCGTAACCAG